GCATGATTTTTCTCCATTACCTTTGCAGAAAGAGGCTTTTAGAGATATCAGAACACAGATACTTCTCCCATTAACGGAAGATATTCTCTCTCTTCTCTTCCTCTCTCACCTCCCCCATGTCTCTCCTTATTACTCATTTCACTCTTTTTCTCTCTCCTCACTCTTTCCCTCTCTATTCTCTTTTGTTTTTCTGCACTCTCTCTCCTCTTATTTTAATTCATTCTTATTTCAAGCATAGTTTTATTTTTAATGCAATACACTAAGACAGTAATAGAAATGGAAAGTAGAAGACTACGACACACTAACCAAAGTCCAACCTTGGTCTTTCAGACATCACATAAGTTTGGCCCCTATAAAATTGTATGCGCTCACACAAACACACACACATACACACAAACAATGTATCTTTCTCCTTTCCTGTCACATGGCAATGCTCAGAGTTTACTCTTGGCTTTGTATTCAGCGATCACTCCTGGTGGGCTTGGGGTACCATATGTGGTGCTGGGAATTGAAGCCAGGTTGGCTGTGTACAAGGCAAGTACCCTACCTGCTATACTAATTCCCCAGCCACAATCTATCTTTCCTATAGTCCTAAGTAGCAGGGGAAGAAAATAAAATAAATGGGGAGAAAACTTAGATATGAAACTTTCATAGAATTTCAGAGTGATCTTATATGATTAATTGACATAACGACTTAATAACACTCTTCCCTTTGTGTCAAGCTTCATACTTACTTCTGTAAGTACTCATTTGTTTCTATTCCATTGAAAATACCATGGTGACTTGAATTCCAGGATTAGGATGTAATTATTACCTCTGTCCTCAAAAGTCAATTTCCTTTAATTTTCAGTTCGCTATAAACTGTGTGTGAGAGAGAACGAACACATACATATCTATTGCATTATTCATTACAAATTTGGGGGGTTTTTTTGGGTCACACTCAGTGATGCACAGGGGTTACTCCTGGCTCTGCACTCAGGAATTACTCCTGGTGGTGCTTGGGGTACCACATGGGATGCTGGGAATCAAACCTGGATCGGCCGTGTGCAAGGCAAACGCACTACACGCTGTGCTATCACTTCAGCCCCATCATTACAGCATTTTTTAAAATAATTTTTTAACCCCTCCTATTAAAATCCTTCTGCATCCTCAAAAGATAACTATTATTCTAAAATCTTTATTTACTATGCTCTTGCTTTTTTATTTGTCCTAAAAAATACGTCCTTCCAGCCCCAGGCCACCCCAGATGGGAATAGGTTCCGAGTCTTGGCCTGTTCCCCCTGGCGCTTCCGGGTCTGCCATCTTCCAGAGGCCAGTGGACAGCCAGGTGGGGGCCCACAGTGAGAAGACATGTCAGGTCTCATGGGATGGGTGCATGGCTGGCCCTTTCCTCTCCCTCCCCAATGAGACCCCGAGTCACTGCCCATGAATGAGCGCTCTGGCTACTCAACAAGCGGCTTAAACCATGATCCCAGAGACTCAGAAACAAATCTCTGAACCCAGCGGTTTTTGGCAGAAATCCCTCCAGATTTAATTATTAAGATTTCAGTCATTATATACTATTTATTATCAGCAATAGAAAACAAATCATCTAATGTTGCCTTTTCAGCAGATATGAGTGTTGGGGTAAAATCCCAAATAATAATGGTGGGTCTGGCATCGAAATATTGAATGTAATCAAAGTAGAGAGAGAGTAATGTGGAAACCATCTGCTATACAGATAGGGGAGGGGGTGGGATGGGGGGTATACTGGGTATTTTGGTGGTGGGAAATGTGCACTGGTGAAGGGACGGGTGTTGTATGACTGAGACTTAAACCTGAAAGCTTTGTAACTGCTCTCATGGTGATCCAATAAATAAATTTATTTTTTAAAAAAGGTTCTTTATTCTTCCTGCTTTTAACTTTACATGAACAGAATCTTACTGATTGCTTGTGAGTGTTGGTGACCTGTTTTTATTTCTCAGTATCATGAAATTCATCTGTATCATTTTAAAATTCAAGCTCTGTGACTTATTTTTTAACTTCATTATTTTTCTCTTCATAATCAGGAGTTTTGAATTTTTTATGCTTGTATCTTTGTGGTTTATGCTTGTTGTAACCTGCTTCTTATGACTTGAGATAATTAATAATATTCTCCAATTTTCTTCTGAAATTTTTGGTTGGGAAGGTTGAAGCTACATCCAGAGATGTCCAAGAAATATTCCTGACTCTGTGCTCAGGAGTCACCTGGGCAGTGCTCAGGGAGCCATATGTGGTATCTGAACTTTGAACTAGGGTCATAGTTGCTATAGCTTCATGCAAGGCAAGTGCTTTACCTTCTATGCTATCACACTGACATCCTAAAAATAGTGTCTTTTTTTCTCCTTTAGGTCTTTACAGATTTTTTGTGTGTGGCATGAAGTAAGGATCTATTTTTTTTTCATAAATGAAAAGAAAACATATTCCCCTAGACCCCTTGTGGAAAAGAAATCCTTCACATCTTACTCAAAATTAAAGCCAAAGTTTTTGAAATGGTGTAAATGGCCCAACACCCAACCTGATTTCACCCATGGCAATGCCTTTGATTTAATCTCCAGTTGTCTTTCCAGTGAACTCTGACCTCGTTCTTTCTTGAACCACACCCCAGAGATTTCTGCCCCAGAGCCTTTGTACTTGCTATTCCTATTGTCTGAAAGTTTTTGTTATCTTCTCAAGCTTACTTATCTCATCACTTAGACCTTCTCTTACTCTACTCTCTCTTTTCTTTCTCTCTCTCACACACAAATATACACTCAATTTAATATCTCTTCCTGCTTTAAAAGGACTTCATTGAAAAATTCAACTTCATTGAAAAATTCTGTAATGTGTGCCATAAGCACATGAGTGGTTGTATCTGAGTATATGCACATGCATGTATACATAGAAGACAGGGTTATCTTACTTTTTGTTCCTATGGGCCACACCTGGCTGTGCTCAGGCTTACTTCTCTGTGCTCAGAGATCACTAATGGCACTGCTCAGGGAACATAAGTCGCGTGGGGGAAACTTGGCTGATCATGTGCAAGGCAAGTGCCTAGCCACTGTACTATCTCCCGAGCCCAGTCAGGGTACTTAAAAATCAGTGTTCCTCAATCTTTCTGACCATGGCCTTTCTTTCAACCTTATTTTCTTCCTGGGACCTCCTTCTCCTACCCATTTCCTTTCTTAGTCTCATTTCATGCACCACTCCATTTATATGAATTTCACCATAGCTCCTTGGGTGAAATGAATTTTAATATATAGGAAAGTATAAAATTCATATGTAGTGAAAAAAATCCCATCTGTGCCTTCTAGCTACTCTATTCCACTCTCCTGCCATAAGTTTCTCTTACATTTTTCTAATATTTTATTTATCCTTACAGAAATATGCTATTTATGTGAGAACATTTTATATTTTTTTCCAATTAATGACAGAACATCGGTATATTACTCTGCCCATTTTTTTTTATATTGTTACGGTACTTAACACTCCACTGGATGGGTGTATTATCTAGATTGTTCTTAGTCTTTACCGTGAAGGGTGTATTATCTAGATTGTTCTTAGTCTTTACCGTGACCTCCTAAACCACATTCCCCTCCACTTGAGATTGAATTCCCATGAGATACACAGTTACAAAGTTGTTCATGATTGAGTTTCAGTCATACAATGTTCCAACAACACCCATCCCTTCCTTAGTGCACATTTCCTACCACCAGCCAGTGTCCCCAGTTTTCCTTCCTCTTGTCTCCCCTCCTACCTCCATCCCGCCCCCTCAGGCTGCCTCTATGGCAGACACTTTTCTTCTCTCTTTTTTCCTTTTAGGCTCTGAACCACAACCCCTTCTTAGCCATCCTTAAGCCACACTTCATAGGACTATCAGAAACACCCTTCTACATCTCCATTCTAACACAGTTATTCAGTCCTTGTGAATAGTGTTTAGAAACCTCAGGCAGCTGCCTAGTACCTGGAAAACAAGTTGCGTGCCTGGGACGTAAAGCCCTCCACGGAGTGATCTCCACCTCCTTTTTCCTGCAGGTGCTTCTGTTGCTGATGACACACCCTCCATCCATGACGTGAACTGTCCCGAGTGCTTTGTTATGATGTTCAATGTTTTCCCTTCAGCGGGCTCCTCCCCTTCTGCTTAACCTTGTGAAAGGAAAGGAGCCCGTTCCTTCTTCCTTCTAGCCAGACCTCCCTGCGTCTAACCCCTCTCTGAGCAACTGCACCTTGCAACAGTTACCCCAGATTTTCATCAGAGCCGCCCCCAGAAGCAGACCAGGTGTTCCGAAGGTGGGGTTGGAGAACTTGATTTATTTCGATCCTTTCTAGACTCCAAATTCCTCAGGAACAGAAACTATTCTCTGGAAACAAGGAATCCGAAAATGAAGTTTCCTTGATTTCCAAGTGGCTCACCACATGAAAGCGAGCCTCTTGAGAGATGCAGAAGTAATAAAAAAAAAGCACTTCCCTGAAGAAGGATCTTTCTGTGGGAGCGTGTCCTGTGATCAGTGAATCACAAAAACAAACAAACATAAGCTGCGGTTTTTTTTGTTAAATTGTATTATTATTTTTAAAATCTCGTGTGCCTAGTCCAGGGTCTGGCACGTGGGGCCTAGCCAGTAAGTGCCTTTTGAAATTAAAGAATAACAAAAGGAAGCACTTAAGGGCGCCTGCAACATCATTTTACCAGAAAGCCACCTTTTGTCATCAACATATCAGTCAACAAATAACGTAGACGTCGTCGCTCATCTTTTGATGAGAAAGGGGGCGGCGTGGGAGGGGGCGGAGTCAGTTCTCCGCGCGGGCAGGAGGGAGGCGGAGACAGCGCCCCGGAGGCGGGGCTAGGAGCCTGGGCAGGCGCTGGGATAGGCGGGGGGAGGGGGAGAGGGCGGGGATTAGGCGGGGCTAGAGTCAGGGGGCGGGGACTTTCTCTCGGCACCGCCTTCCCTCCCACCCCGCAGCTGCGGCGGCGGCGGCGGTGGCGGTGGCGGTGGCGGCGGCAGCGGCGGCGGCGGCGCAGCGCAGCGCGGCCGCTCGGGTGCAGGCAACAGCTGCAGCAGCCCGCGCCGCCCCCTCGGCCGCGTCTTCCGGGGCGAGCCCGATCACTGCCGAGCTCGGGTGGCGCGGTGGCTCGGTGGACGCTGCAAAGTTCCCCGCGCTAGCGCCGAGATGCCGGGCAGCGACACTGCGCTCACGGTGGACCGGACCTACTCCGACCCGGGCCGGCACCACCGCTGCAAGAACCGGGTGAGAGGCGCGGGTTTGGTGGCGCGGGGCAGCGCCCCGTGAAGAGGGGCGAGGCCGGGTGGGCTCGGACTTATGCGTCGACTAACTCTCGCCGCCCTCCGGTGCTTTGCTACCTCGCTCCCTTGCTGCACGGGGTGCAGGTTTGTCCGACTCTGTTAGAGCCCAAGAAGGATGTCGGAGTCCAGTCCACGACTCCAAGACCCCCCCTCCCGCCCCCACCCCAGGTTCGGCGGGATGCAGAGCCTAGCGCGGACCCTCCCGGACTCCGGCTCTGCGCTGTTCTTCGGTCCCCGCGCGTCGGCCCGGGACGGCGGGTCTCCCGGGCACCCCGAGCGCCCGCGCCCTCTCCGGCAGGGTGCGCCTGCAGCGTGAGAATCCCGTCCCCCCGCGGCACCGAGCGCCGGGTGGGACGGTCCCCACGACCCCCACCATGCCCACCTCCTGCCCCTTGTGCCGCTGCCACATCGTCCCAGCTTTTCAATCTGGGGAGCTCCGAGCAGGTGGACCGAGCCGCGCGCAGCGCCCGGGCTAATAGGAATCCCGCAGGGGGCTGCTCGGGGCTCTGCCCCAGTGCAAAGTCAGTGTTGGCGCTGCCTCTCCGGAGTTCCTAGCCGAGCGGAGCAGGCGCCCTCTCCATTGTTTGCAGTGTAATTTGCTGTTGCTGATTTTGGCTGTGCGCGAAAATAGCTCTTCTGAGCGTGCTGCAAAAGACGAGCTTTGGGTTGCTTCAAGATAAAGACCGAGGTCGAAACCCCCGAGCGCCGGCCCTGCAGCTTAGCTCGGACTTCGGGATACCTTGGCCGCCTTCCTTCCTTTCCCCCTCCCTCACCAACTACTTCGGGATACCTCTGCCCTCCTGGGCTGTTTGAGCATCCGGGCTGGACACTAGGCTTAGCTCCTCTTGCCTGCTTGAAGTGCCATTTCTCACCTGACTCCTTCCACACCGGCGTTTGTTCTGGCAAGAGATCTTCGGAGTTCTTTTCCACACACTGTGCGATCTCAGGACTTGTGCCTGCCTCGGTGTATAAAGTTCACGGAGGCAGAGGTGTGCCTAGTCTGGCCTGTGTCCTCCAAACTCTGGAGGCCCCCACGGCGGGGAAATAGCAATGGTAACAGGAATTGATGGGAAATTGGTGGGGAATTCTGGTGTTCAGTCATAATCACTTACCCTAGAAGTGAAGGAACTGGTCCTCTTATGTTTACCACCTTTCTTTCTTTCTTTCTTTCTTTCTTTCTTTCTTTCTTTCTTTCTAGTTAGTATTTGTTCACCAAGTTCACAGAATAATTAAAAATTAGTTGTGGTCGGGAGGCCACACCCGGCAGGAAGTGCTGCTAGGCATCACTCCTGGTGGTGCTGGGACCCTGCAGTGTCAGAGATCAAACCAGACCTTTGCTCTATCACCGCAGCTCTTGGAAAATTAAAATTTTCCAAATTAAATATGTTTTGTGGAATAATACTTATCCTCCTAGATCTACTCTCCTCTTGCCCCTAAAGTGTTCTCTTCTATTTTGCATTTGCTTAAAAGTGTTACACAAAAATAAATAACCAGAAAAGCACACTGAAGAAAGATCTTTGGTGACATACAGTTAGAAGTTTCTGAAGGATAAGTCCTAGTTAACAGTTAACACCGAAGAAAGGTACTCTGTTCTAGTTTTTTTTTTTTTTGTTTTTTTTTTTTTGCAGTTGGGGGAGTTTGTAAAGTTAATGCTGCAGTAGAAAGAATTTTCAGACTTGAAAAAAGTGGAAGAGGGGTTTCACGGCACAGTGATGATGCATTGAGGGCTGGCAGGCTGATTACTCACTTAAATAATCTGGCAAAATCTTCCTCTTCCTAACTTGTAAAATGGTGCTGAGAAAGTCTTCTCCTCACCTAGTTCCATGGAAAGTGGCTGAGCAAGCATGTAACTTAATTGCACAGTTGTCTCTGCCTTACTAGCCATTGTTCTATTTCCACACCCATCTTTGCTGTTAAAATACCACAGCCTGCTGCGAAGTGGGTGTCTTGTTTTCTTTCAGATACAACTAAGGATTTTACTGCAGTTTGGCCCTTAAACCACAAGGGCCCTGCACAGCCCTGGGCAGCTTTCACATAGTTTCTTTTGTAAAGAGATGCTGTAAACTCATTTTGTAAAGAGATGTTGTAAATTCATATCAATATGCACAGACTCTCTTCCTTGGTGATTTTCTTTGCTCTAGCTCACTGTATTCTAAGATCTCTGTATGTAATACATATAGTTTATAGCATATAGCATAGACATATACATAAGCAAAATAAGCGTTAGCCAACTGTTCATGTTCCCGGTAAGAATTCCAGTGAGTGGGCTCTTAAGGATTAAGCTTTAGGGGAGTCAAAAATTATTTAGATCCTCAGTTGCATGGGGGTCCTTAACTGGGTTTGGTGGTCAGTTGTATATTGTTTGGTTGGCCCTGTGTCTTATTAAACAGACCAGTAAAGTGGTGTTAGACATAGGTATTACTCTAAAATAGTTTATTGAGTAAACAAAATCTGGTGAAAACTAGAAGAAATCAGATCGAGGAGGTCAAGAACTTCAGGAGACTCCTAGCACACAGGCCCCCTAGTAGTCAGCCGTGATCCCTATTACAGCCTCCAAACTGTCTGCTTTTAGGATTTGTAGGGCTGAGATAGTGACCTAGAGGTGAGGGCTGGAGAGATAATATAGTAAGTAGGGTACTTGCCTTGCACACAGCCGACCCAGGTTCAAGCCCTGGCATCCTATATACCCACCCTCCCCTGAGCCTCACCAGGAGTAATCCCTGAGTATCACCAGGTGTCACTCAAAAAAAAAAAGTAGAAATTACGTAAACCCATAAGAACTTTTCTCACATGGACTGGAGTAGTTCTGAGCCTGCCCTTAGGAGTGTACCCAGGACATGGTGATGAGGAGAGGAGCAATGGCTTCTATTCACAGAAAGTAGCCCATTAGCCAATTTGGGCTCTTTATCTACAGAACCTATTTTTTTAATTAAAAAAATTTTTATATTGAATTGCCATGTCACATGAGATACAGTTACAAAATTTTCATGATTGAGTTTCAGTCATACAATGTTTCAACACTCTTCCCTCCATCATTGTATCTTTCCCATCACCAATATTCCACCCCGGCAGTATCCCTCCTACATCCTCCCCACCCCCCCCCCCAACACACACACAGCCTGCCTCTATGGCAGGCACTTTTCTGCGGAGCCCATTTAGATAGCACTATGAAGACATTTCTTTTTCCCTACAAGTCTATGGTGTGAAAGGACAACATCTAGAGCTTAATTTCCCCTTGGCATCCTCTCTTTGGCAGTCAACTCTCAGGTTTAGGATGTGAATGATTTTGTGGACTCATTTGACAAAACTGGCCCCTGCTGAGTGCACCTTACAGGAGGGGCAATGAGGGGCACTTGTGAAAGGTTGCTAACTTTTCAGAAAAGTGCAGTTCCCCACCCTCTCCCCCAGGTGGGAGGATGAGACTGTGAGATCAAGTTATTGATTACTGAATTGTCCGTTTCTTTTGAATTGATAGCATGTTGAGATAACAGAGAAACCCAGGACTCTGAGTTGCTTGAAGCCCCCCGAGACTGGAATAGGAATGAGGCACTGCACTATTTTAACATGGCAGAGGTCTATTTTTACAGCCAGGTGGACTAACCTAGATTCTCCCACCCCCACACCTTCTGTGAAAATGTAACATAGCTAATGAATTCTGTGATGGTCTCTAAGCTGACAAGGCAGGATCATTCACATCTTGAAACTTCATCAGAGTAAATAAAACTCTGAAATGTACATATTTGCAAGATGCACTTAAGCGCCCTCTGCTTTTAAAGAGAGTACACATAATTAGAATCCTACCTTTCCCCCCCTTTTCATGCCCTAGATAGTTGGAACCTATCATTTGAAGAATACAGACAGCCAGCTTTCTACACAGTGACTCGTTTTTTATTAATCATGTGTGAATCAAATTTTTGTTGGTTCTAATTTTAAATGTTCTGACAATGTTCCCCTTGGGCTGCTGGGCTGTTGGGGTGAAGCACCAGGGCTCAGGGGTCAGAAGTCCTGGCTTTTCACCTGCTCTTTTCACTTTCCAGCTGGGACAAGCTACCCTATTGGAGCACTTGGCTTTCTGTTTAAAGAGGTGAAGTGGGCCTGACTGTGAATCTTCAGAAAGAGATAATTTGTTTCACTTTCAATTTTTTTTTGTTGTTTTTTGCAGCACCCAGTGGTGCCAGGGCTTGTTTCTGACAGTGCTCAGGAGATCACATGTGGTCCCAGTTATCGATCCCTGGTTGGCCATATGCAAGACAAGTGTCCTACCCCCTGTACTATCACATTGAAAAGAATATTTTTTTAAAGGGCAGTGTGTCCTCAGCACTGTATATGTATTTTTAAAAATCTATATGTAAGGTGAGTTTGCTTATGCTGTTGGTAGCATCCTGTGGTGGACATCAACCACCACAAGTGCCTCCCCACCTCACCTCTGGTCTCTCAGCCATTCTAGTGGGTGTTTCTTGGACTTTTCTTTGGGATTAGTTCCTCTTCCTATATCCCCAATCCCCCATCATCTCCCATCTCAGTTTGGTCACTCTGTACCTCAGGACAAGAAAACTGCTGTGCTGGCTTCCTCTTCTCTCTTTCTCCATCAACTTTTCTCCCAGCCTGCCTGCAAAGTCCAGACTTTTCTGCCTGCAGAATCTCTTTCACTTCCAGGAGTTGCTCCCGGAAAACAGTTCTTGCCTTAGTACTGCTTATTCCTGGTGTGGCCGTGGACCCCCCAAATCCTCAGTTTTGCTTTCTCTCTTATTTATACCAAAGAGCATCACAACAATCAGAGCAGTAATGTCTATGCAATGTCAGGTACACAGTAAGAACTCAATATACAGTAGTGCTACGTTGTCATTGGTATGTAAGATGTTTTCCTACGCATCTTTAGCATTTTGAATCTCCTTCCAGCACATATTCCTCATCATGTTGTTTACACATTCATCAGGTCGTGAA